CGGGCAAAGGAAACGACATATTCAAGTTTCTTGTTATCTTTTATCGGAACAATATACCATATTGTGCGAAAGTGCTCATCTTTGAACGGATGTTCAGGCCACACTGGAGTTTCAACTTCTTTGTTTCGTACTTCACAAAAGAGATCTACTACCATATTTTCGAGTTCATCTAAACTCTCTAAATATAAAATTGATTTGTTAGTACATAATAAATATAAAAATATAAGAAAGAAAAATTATAATCTGTTCATGAGAAAAGAATTAATTTTACTCAAAAGTTACATGCTCATTGCCTTGTATGACTTGAAATATTTAAATTTTTTTAAAACCAATCTCTTTTTCTTTCAAATAAACATGAAAATTTTTTAGATTCTTTTAAAAGCAAAATTTTAGCAATTTACACAAACATTTTCACATATTTTCACGTATCGACATAAAATTTCTCTTTTTTAAAATTGGACAATGTATAAATATCGAACAATAAAAAATAAAAAATGTGTAACTTATAGATATACCAGTGTTCAATTCATATGTACTTCAAATTTAAAAATCTTTACAATCTTAAAAAATTATTAATTATTAATTAAAGAAAATATTCTATTCAGGAAGAGATTTTTTATATTATCATCGTACCTTTGCCGAGAACACACAGTGACATAATATTAGCAGAATAATATTTTTCATAAAATTCAAGAAGTCTATCTCGAACATTGATTCCCTTTTGTTTCGGTATTATGTCCAATGTTTCTCTATTGCCTGTGCCGAATTTTGAAAACGGATGATCAGGACATGCAGAGGACTTATCTAATTGATCAAATCGCCAAATATCATTTGCTAAATTTTTTTCATGTTCTGAATTTATAGCATTCAACTCAAGTTCGGTCAAGGTTTCCGTGAAGAGAGGTGCTAGGAAAAACTGCGCAAAGCGATCTAAAGCACCTTCCAATTTCTCTGGTGTTACATCAAAATAGTAAGTGGTATGATCTAAGTGTGTTAATGCATTGCTCGTGCCGCCGTTTTGCGACAAGTACGTAGCGTAATCATTCTGTTGAGGATATTTCTCTGTTCCCAAGAACAACATATGTTCGCAGAAGTGTGCTAACCCAGGCAGATCATCTGGATCGCACATGTAACCTGTAATACATTTCATTTCTAATTAATTGATCATGAGAGCGATAATTTGATAATCGTTGATAAAAATATATAAATTTTTAATATCGAATAGAATCTATCTAATATAACTTATCTAGAATATGATATAGAAAACATAAAATCTCAAAACATTGAATGCATAGAAATAAAAATATAAAATTTTTATGTAAAATAAGATTAATATATTAAAGGATATAAAATATATAAGACCGATATAAAGTTTTTTTTATGATTCTCATTATGTTATATATAATACATAGATAGAATAATTTTAAAATTTTCCTATGGAAATTCCTATATATATCATAGATGCATAATGACATAATTACCAACATTAACATCCATTGCTACAGCACTTTTATCAGTTGTTGGATCGCTGATTAAAAGTACTTTCATTTTATTAGCGAGTAACAAACCCCTGTATAATCGGTCGTCATTTTGTGATTTTATTATATCATTATATCGTTTTTCCACACGTTTATGAGTCGACATATTGGTCACTGAAGTGTTGGACTCAGGAACTTTATTTCTAAATATGATAATAGAGACACAAAATTTTAAAATAAGTATGCATGATCTTTATTAATCAATTATGCTTATGTATATAAATGAAAAGTGAAAAGTAAACAATACTCAATAATAAACAATATTCAAATAAATTCAAAATTGTAAAATCTTATAAAAAAATTATTTGTATAATCTCATCCCAAAATATTTATGTTTATTAATTACATAAAATATTTAATAATTAATAGTAAATGAAATACTGAATAAAAATATTTAGATATTAGGAAAAATAATATAAAAATAAAAATCAAATATTGCAAAAGTAAAATATTATATAAATTATAAAATTATAATAAATTTGATTTTTCTAACTTTCTTGAATTGTCAAGAATAAATATTCTTCAGCCAAATCATGTTTTCCTTAAATAAGTTGAAAAGATCAAATTGTGAAAGATGAATCTCTAAATCTTATGTGTAATTGTTTATATTATAAAATTAAAATCATATATAATATTTCGACTTCAGATTGAATCTTCCTCATCCTCAGTATATGTATCATATATTGGTCACTGAAGACTTATACAATTTAAAATTATTCCATTATAATTGATGTTAAAAATAATACATAACAAATTGTAAAACGTGTCACAAATAATATTTAATTAATATTTGATGTGTATCAGGAATAACTTTTCATTTAATTCATTTTTAAGCAATTATTGGAGCAATTTTTCTCTTTTCTATAATGAAAGGAATCTTGTAGAGCCTATCACAAAAGGAGATTAGAAACAATAAAGCGAAAATATCTTGTGAACTTTATAGACTGTGTAGAACGGAAGAGAATATACAAAGGCGTATATAGATTCAGGATATAGTTTACGTTATTGCTCAGACTTGGCTAGTATACGCAGTCATTAATTAACTATTAAACGACAGTATTCTTACTTGTAATTACAACTCTCTGCGAGCGAGATCTTGTTATTCTGACAGAATGACGTCATGGTGAAACACGATGAGACTTTGCGTGGAGCGCGTTACCGAATCTACCGTTTCCTCTTTATTTCTCACTCTTTTTCTTTTTTCTCCACTATCACTCAAGTGTCACAAGCACCGCCAAACTTGGTGAACCTGACTTACACGGGGAGAGGTACGCGTGAGCGACGAGTATCTTTGTTTTTTCTTTTCATATGCACGATGTCTCGTTTCGCATAACAGGCACATATGGACTCTACTCAATATTCAGAGATCTTATATTACCTCGTAATAAAAACACAGAGCGCCACTGACAAAGAACGAGTCACTCGGTTGTTGAGGTTAGATCCGGAGCGTCAACTTCGGAAAGTCGTGGTAATTTCTCGGTGATTGTAGCATGAAATCGTTCGTCGCGGTAAAACACGAAGCCGCGGAACTGCGCCTGGCCACGTACAGCGATTCGACTGGTGATCGACGTAACGATCCGAACGATGACACGGCGAATACGGGTTCGTCCTGTCAGGTGCACGTAGATTCGAGTATGCGACAATGGCAAGTGGCGTGCTCGTGTCTGCAAAGAAATATAAATACCTGAAAAGCAAATGTGACTGTGCGAATGCTTGCGAAATGCGGAATTTTAACAGGCGCATGGCGCGTGCAGAAGATGAATTTACAAAGTTGAAAGAAAACGAGAAAAAAGTTGATTATATACACGTACGATTACATCAACGACTGGCGATCGATAATGGCTTGAAGTTAGCAACGCGACTTCTCCCTCCTTCGCCTCGAGGGTGCATTTCACTATCAATCTGACTAGTTAACGTTTAGTCAATCACGTGACCTCTTTCTTGACGCTTCTTGGCGTCAAAAAGAAAAAGCCGGATTTGTATTATGTTAACTTTTTCCGATCTTTAATAATACAGTGTCTAGTTGCTTTATTATAAGCTTTGTTCGAACTTTTATCTTGCTAAAGAAAGCAGTGTAATCGAAATGTTCAAGTATTGAAATTTCGTTTATTCGTGATATATTATTCTGATTTATTTTACTAAATGTCTTTATTGTTTTAACTTATTTTTGCTCGTTTATTTGCCTTATTCGTTTGTATTATTTTATAACATGTCATAATGTAAGATTAAATTATTGATATTTTCTGAAAATGTTAAAATTATGGCAAGCATTACAATCAATATAGACTTTCTCCTGGGATATTGGTTTTTGCACATATATAATTTACAATATAAGGTTTACATTAAATTATGCTTAATTCACAAAAATTATTAAAAATCGTTGTTTATAAATAAATTTAACAAATTTAAAACAATTATTTTCGGTGAAAAATATTGCATAATTATCACATACTTAAAATATTAAAATTTTATTAAAAAATTATAATTATTTTTCATCTACATAGTTGATTTTAAGAAATAAACAATAATTTTAAAATTATGTACAATAAATTATGTATAATAAAGCATATATAGAATAATATTTATAGAGCAAGAAAATTTATATTTTGCAACTAAAATTTATAGAATTTCGATAATATATTAAAAATAAATATTCGCAAACTAATTTTCAATAATAAACCGTCTCAGCTTCTGTGAATTATAAATGTATGTCAGATTTTTCTAATTTTAATTTCACTAATAAGTAATTCATTTCTATAAAATAATTAATCAATCTTTTTCAAACAATACAAATTAATATTATTTATTTAAAATTATTTAAAAATTCATTCATTTAAAATAATAAGATTGTAGATGGCATTAATTGACAGAGTCTTAGTGAATAATTTGCTTCTTGAATTAATATATATAAATTTAAGGCAAAGTTTTATCACGAACTACATGTCGTTATAATTACTTGCGCGTGGCCCGCTCAAAATAATACCTGAATTTATTTTCTTAATAAATCGATAAATTTGAAAATCAATAATCCTCCATTCAACGAAATTCTCATTGCGAAAAATATCATCCTACTCAGGAATAGAACTTTGGATCACTTAGTTTCTTTAGTTTCTCAGTTTCTGAGCATCTTAACCATTCGATCACTGAGGCACGTGATATTCATCACAATAACTAAAGATAAATAATGAGAAAGAACGCCTGTCAATGCCGCGTAAAGAATAAACCATAATCTAAATCTAAATATATGTTTGAAACAAGAAGATCGTAGATGACAAATTTATTCATATAAATTGATATCTCATCATTCCTTTTATAATTTAGAATGGCGTATACCCTTTCTAGGATTTATTATATGGTTTCAATAGAGGATATAAAGTTTGACTATTTTTAAATGACAAAATATTGTCGATTTTCTTAACTTCTTCATCAAATGATAAATCGGCAACTTTTTTGGTGTTATCGATCGGATTGTTTTTTACTGATGTTACCGCAGATATCACATGAACTGACAATTTAGGTTGAGTTTTGCTATGTACATTTTCCTAAAATATTATAAATATATTACTTTCTCAACTTTTCTAAAAAGTAATTTCTCTTAAAAAAGTTATATTAGACCTTATATATAAAAAATATATTTTACCTTTTTCATTTATTTCTTTATGATAAAATGGTTTCTTTCTGATTTGAGTTTGAGTTCAATATACATTTTACATGTAAAATAAAATAAAAAAACAATAAATGATTACCTTATAAAAATTAAGTAACTGCTGCTGCGTTATCGTTTTCAAGTAAGATACTTCGATATTTACTCGATCGAAATTATATTGTTGGTTTAAAATTTCATTCCAATAAAAAGTGCATCGTGTTTTCATTTTTGGTTTCTCCAAAAATAATGTAACCAAAGTGTTCCTGTGTTTTCAAATTGCTCTTCAGGCATAGTTATATAATCCTAAAGTATATGATTGTAGTGATGTTAATGATATATATCAATTGTAATATAATTCTTAATATTATATAGAATAAATAAATGAGCAGGATCTGGTTCATAAAAGGCCGTCATGATGATTACGAAATAGATTAATATTGATTTGATATTACAGAATTTGTGATAAATATAAAAACAGAAAATATTCTTATATTTTGATTAATGTATATATAACATGCTATTTTATTATTATTATCATATAAATAATTATTACTTACCAACATGGAGTCCATAAAGGAGTTAATTCTTTTTTCGACATATTGTGGATGTTTGTTACTTTGAACCAAAATTCGCAGACCTTGCGCTCCTCCACGTGTTTTGTATATATCTCTAAGCACTATATAGCCTAATTGCTCCGTAGTCCTTAAAATGTTGTAGCAAGGCTCAGAAATAATTTGCATCAAGAGTCTTAAGAGCATATTTGACTCTGTTGACTCTAAACCAATCTGGTAATATATCATTGTACAAGAACTCTTATGTAACTTATTTTCTATTTCAAATAAAAAATGACAACCTACAATAATTTACATAATGTTGCGTATTGTGTAATATGAACAATATTAGAGTGGAACTTATTAGAGTGGAAAGGAGGGAACATTTAATATTTGAAGCAATAATTTCATTACAAATTACAAATAAAATAAAAATTATCCTTTTTCTTTATTACTATATTAATCCCAACATAATATTATTACTATATTAATCCTAATATAAACAATTTAAATAGAAGTTAATAAAAATAAAAAGTTAAAGTATTACAATTTATATTAAAATTATGTTTCTGTTCTAATTTAAATTGGTACTTTTTACATTCATTCGTTCAAATTTGTTCTAAATGAGATTGTTACATATACTTACCATCTTCTAATTTAATTTCACGATTCAATACTAGTTGCTTTTGCAACAAAGGTATTGGGGGAGGCACATTATTTATCAATTTAGATTCAATTAGTTTAACTGCATCTATAGCTTCTACTCTAGTCACATTACCGTATATTAAGCATTCCACATGAACTTTACTAAATAGCTGCGATATAAACCATTGGAGTCTTTCCACTGTTAAATCTATATATTATATTAAGATTTATTTAAATAAACTTCAATTATATATAATTAAGAAAAGTTGTCATGTAATTAAAAAAAGTTGTTTAATAAGGTGTAAAGAAAAAAAATTATAGTGAAAAAAAGTTGTAATGAAGCAAAAAAAGAACATTTAAGTTGTTTTCTATACTTACAAGCAGTTGAGTCTAATAATTCATCATTGAGCCAGTCATGCTCTTTCAGTAAGAATGCAAGATAGATAAGTGCATGTTGATGGGGCTGATGAGCAGCGAAATTTTTCAAAATACTAATATACTGTAAATGATTTTTTTTATAAAAATGTTGTATTTTAATTAAATTAAAAACTTATTATACATTTTTTATTGTACATACCATTTCCTTTAGAATTTCAAATCTTTTTGGATCAACTTTCAAATTCATCATTTGGTTTATAATCTTTTCAAGTAGTATCCGCTGCTTATTATCGTAACCATCTATAGTAAGCTAAAAAAATAATAGAGTTTTTTCTTGTATTATTGTTTAGGAATTATATATTATATAGAATTATTTGTAGAAATAAAATTGAATATACTTATGAAAATCAAGTTAAAAATTAAATTTGAGTTATGATGATTTTTGAATAAATAATATTTTATGCATTTAAGAAATAGTCAATTTTAGATTTTAATATTAATAACAAATTAAGTAACTCAAATAACTCAAGTAATTTTCAATATTATTTATATATAGTTTTTACTAATGTTATTATTATTGTATATATGTACTCACTCTTAATCCGTTTTCATAATCAATAAGATCCCATTTTAAACCAGCTAAATAAGCATCATATACATATAGGGAATCACGAAATAGTAAGATAAACATATGACTTAAATTGCAAGTAATAGGATCCATATAGGCAATTGGACTATAAATTAAAAACAAAAATAAAAACCTTGTGTAATTACGAGAAAAGATGTTTCTTTTGTTAGAAAAAAAAACGTTATATTATTATTTATACCAAAGACATTTTTAAATAACAATATTAGAAAGTACATAGTTTGCAAATTTATTTCTTTATAATTGATTTCAAAGATAATGAATACATTTATATATTACAAGTTTCATTATTCCATTGTTATAACTTACATAAATTGGCAAAATAAGATTTTGAGAATAGAGGCTTATGTAAAGATATTTTGATTATTTATTTGTAATAAATCATATATTTAATTAAAAGAATGATATATTTCTTATCACTTTATTGCATACCTGACAAAATCGAAAATCATCCACGCTTTTGGTACAAAAAATTCATTATCCTTTTTATACCAAAGCCTTATATACGAAGTATCTTTCAAAATAATAGGAAACGTTTCTATCTGTAAAATATAACCTATTAGTGCACATAATAGTTATGATAATAAAACTACAAAATAAATTTAAGGTTGATGATATAATCGACAAGAGATAATTCAAAAGTACAAAAATCATCCTTTGTATTGCTTCCCTCTTATTTATATCACAATAGCTCTTTTACGTCGTATAAATTAATAATTAGGCATTTTCTTAAAGATAATGCAGACCAAAAATATTTCAAATTTATCATTATTACAATGAAGAGCTATACATGTACAAAAAACCAAATAATTTTAAATATTCATCAATATTAAATTATAGCAAATACGATAAGTAACATAATTTATACTTTACAAAAACTTCGTTTAAATATTAGCAAACAGTACTTAAGAATTAATACTGTTGGTCAAGATAATTTTAATTACATTAGTTTCAGGTTTGATATCAAATTTAGTAGGTATAAATTTATTCTTGGAAGGCAATTTAAAATTCGAATTATAGCCAGCATTATTCCATGTGTCCATTGTTTCTTTGGAAACTTTTTCTTTCTTATATTTAGTGCCATACCAACTTTCGGTTTCATTTGCTATATTTTCATATGTTTTCGCAGCAACATGAATTCTGACATTGTCTGGTGTCAAATATTTCATTACTTCGACGATCAAATCCGGTCGCCATTCTTTGAAAACATGTGCCGCACATAAAACGTCAATCATGGGATATTTTTGCAACTTGTGAACCGTATAAGACACGTAATT